AATATATTTTTTTTATATCAAAATATTTTTTTTTGTTTATCCATATTAAATATTTTAAATATTGTAATTTTATTCTTATATAATTCTCTCAAAAATTTTAATATTTTTGTTATTTATTATTTTATATAAAAAATTTGTTAGTTCATTTTTTATTTAGAAAATACTAATTACTTTAAGGTCTAATATTTTTTCATATATTATTATATTAATAATAATATTTTTTTTTCATGATATTATGTTATTTTATTATAATTGGAAAAATGAATTTATTGGTCTAATATATGATGATTTATTTCAAATTCTCGCAAACATATTATGGATATTAATATATCTTTTGCAATAAATTTTTATGCAAATTTTTATTAATTTTAAAATGAATATGATTAAAAAAGTCTCCAGGCTAAAGAAATATTTTCTCTATTTTTTTAAATAGGAGAAAGACTTAATAAATAAATTATTAAAGAGTTTATCATATTTTTTAAATAATAATATAAATATATTTATGTATCAAAATTATAATATTGTCTTTTAACAATTTATTTGTAATTAATTTTACTATTTTTAATAATATCTTTGTGAATGATTCTTTTTATTTATATTAGAAAATTTTGTTTTTTGTATTTTTATTATTCTATATATGTTCTATATTATTTTATGCTTCATTATTCATTTTTAAAAGTTTTTTGCAAAATAGTTTAAATGTATTTTAAATTAATATTTGCTTAATTATATTTATATTCTAATTATATTTTCAATACTAGTATTATAATTTTAAATTTAAAGTTATATATTTTATATTTTTACGAAGATGAAAAAAAATAGACAATAAATAAAGACAAATTTAATAAACAAATTTAATAAAAAAAAAATTTAATAAATTTAATAATAAATTTTTGTAATAAAATAAAAAAAAAGATTTTTCTAATAAAAAAGAATTCAAAAAATGTTTATATCAATCCTGCTTGAGATTAGGATGAGATCCTATCCGATGAGAGGGATGTTATGCGTGTCTTTTAACTGACGTATTATGATATTATGATAGAGTGGAAACAACTATCGAAATTTGATTGCGCCATCTATCAACTATTTTGTAATGCTATATAAGTCATACCATCGAATAGATGGCGTTATTAAAATGTGTTATGGAACTCTGAGCATTGTAGAATTTCACTCTAAGCTGAAACTAAGTACTTAATAGAAAGCAAACTAAAGTCTCAATTTGAATTATCAGATATTGAAACAAAATGCTTATCTATTTTTTCTATATTTTCTATTTCATAATGACATCTATTTTTTTTGCATTTTTCACTTCATAATATTAATATTATTATATGATGTTAATATAGTGTTATTATAATATAAAAAAATAATACACGATATCATTCGTCAATATCATATTTATCTTTAAGATTTCTCTTATTTTTTCTCTTATTTTTTAATATAAAAAAATAATACACGATATCATTCGTCAATATCATATTTATCTTTAAGATTTCTCTTATTTTTTCTCTTATTTTTTAATATAAAAAAATAATACACGATATCATTCGTCAATATCATATTTATCTTTAAGATTTCTCTTATTTTTTCTCTTATTTTTTAATATAAAAAAATAATACACGATATCATTCGTCAATATCATATTTATCTTTAAGATTTCTCTTATTTTTTCTCTTATTTTTTCAAAGCAATAATATATATATATTTTTTTATATCAAATTTAATATTTTTTTCAGTGATACTTAGCTTAAAGGCATAAATTATTACATAAATTACATAAATTAGGAATCAGCATTAATTTATTTGAGCATATAAATTTATAAAATAAATCATCTTCAAAATATCATAAATGAAACATATAAACAAAAAGAATATATAATGGAAAAAGACAGAGCTAAAATAAGAATTGATCATCAGTGCTATCTCTTGACTGTAAAAAATATTTCTTTAAATGTAGAAATAAGAAGAGTAACGCCATCTCATAAATACTCTACTAAAATTTGCCTATAGAAAAATATTTTTGATGGCAAAAGATGGCACTAAAGATCAATTCTTATCTTATCTTTATTCTTTATTTATTCTCCTCTTCTATATTTATGTTTAATTTAAATATTTTGAAGATGGTACTGATTCTATAATTTTACATATTTTCTTATTTCCTATCGGTTTTCCTTGTTTAAATTTATTATTTTATAAATCGATATCGATGATGTTGAAAATAACATCAAAGCTTTAAAATTTTTAAATGTAATAAATGATAATAAAAAAATCATCGAATAAGAATATATTATTGTATTTTATTTGTGATTTAATTTTAATGCATTATAATTTATATAATAAATAAAATTTAAAAATTTTTGAATCTAATTAGATTCTTCGATATCGAAAAATATGATAGTACGCTACTGTTAGAGAAAGCGCTAGTCATGACAGTGACACAAGTCCATAGAATATACATATATACATGCGAAGATGAAAAGATTCTAAGCGTGATACGATTACGTGCTTTATGCATCGGTGTGCATTCATCGTGCGGTGAAAACACATTTTTCTCCCATATCTAGTTTACAAAATAGTCTGTAGTAGATTAATATAACATTCTTATTTTTCATTTTAAAACTTTCAAACCTATTCAATATTAAATTTCTTATATTTGAACGAAAACTTCAAATGCAATTCTAGAGATCAAAAAATTACTCAAAAGATTATATTAATAAGTATTTGGATATTCATATATTTCTTTTTAAAAATTTTTAAAAATATTTTTTTTAATTAAATAATTTTTCATTTTTTCAAATCTTTGTATAATGCAATATTAAATATATATATATATTTATATATATATACACACATATAATTATAATATAATTACAATGTGATAAAAAGACAATAGTCAACTATAATTTGAAACGAAAAAAAAAAAAAAAAAAGATTAGTCGTTTTCTTTATAATGAGATTCTTTGTTTATATCAAATAATTGCAATTTCAAGAAAAAGACATGATTTCTATGTAATATAGTAGTATTTTCATATTTTCATACGACAATTTAACCGGAGAAAGTTTCATTCACATATTCGAATCAGTTGGAATCGGGTCACACAGAAAGAATACACTACATTCACGCTCTGTTCTCGATTACACATGTAGTATTATGAAAATTACATTTATGGCGATTATTCTTTTTTTTTTTTTTTTTTTGCAAAATTACAAATTAATGCGAATTAATTATTATTATTTTTAGAAATTGAACGTTAATTATATGCTGATGTAATAAAATTAAAAAATTTAAAGAAAAGTGCAGTTGATCGATTCGCCTTCTGAGACATTAAAATGTATTTTGAAATTTATCTTTATACTTTGAAATCAAGAATCGTATAATACGTATATTCAACAGTCGTAAAATTATCCGCGGGTGTATCTGCGTTTCCCACTTTCTCCACGAATCATCCGTGGATACGTTGTTACGATCATTTATAATTCTTGCTCATCTTTTCATTTCTAAATGGTTTAACCAGTTCTAAAGTAGCATAAGCGTGGATAGCGTGTCGGGAAATGGAGTGAAAGCATAATAGTTTTTTTTCTATAAAAACATGATTTTTACAAATTATTATTATTTTTTTTTTTTGAAGAAGAGACATTTCAATGATATACTTTATATTACCACAATGATCAATTTATTATAAACAAATTTTAATGCAAATTATTAGCAATTAAAAATATCTATTTATCTATTTCATCGAATGCTTACGATCAGATTAATATATGAAATAATTAATATTAGATTAATATATTAGAATAGAATAATGTTATTTGATTGAATATTTAAAAAATTTTTCAATCTTTCTGTATATATAAACAGTCATTTTAATTTAAACGATAAAATAATATAATAAATTCATTAAGATCATATATTTGTGTATATTTTATAAAACGTTATATAAATTATCCATGATCATCTCAAGCGAAAAAAAGAAGTGTAAAGATTATCACATACGTTTTGACATTTTTGAATAATTATTTTCAATATCAACGATAAAATGAATGCAACTAGTAAAAAATACGAAAATATGAAAATATCGATGAAAAATTTGCATTTCTGTAGTCCATAGATTGAGAACATTGATGTAATCTGATATAAATTATTTTTTTTTAAAATAAAAAAGATTGGACGTTTTTATTTATTTTCATCAATAAATCAATAAGAGAAATTGTTCGATTACGATACGGAAGTATTGAGATTCCATTTGTTACCATATTTCCTATTACGCAATTGTCAATAAAAAGATGCTTAGCGACACTTTCGAATTCTTGTTGGTAACAGCTATATTTCTAAGTATTTCTTATTCCTTTTTCTTTTATCCATGTCACATTGTGCCGATATAGATTTTTAACATCGAAATAATTTGTTTTGACTTTCCTTGAAAATTTTCTTCGTGTATACATATATGGAAAACGGGAGAGACCATTTTATCTGTTAACATAACAAAAATTAATTAACATAACAAACATTTATGCATTATTAATGTCAAATGGTAAAACGATAAAAGACAGAAAATATTAAAATGCGCGCATGTTGTTGATATAATACAAGGTCTGAGAATAAAGTTAGCGAACTCTATGGTAAAATTATTACGTACTTCATTCCAGAGTATCATTGTGGTCACGTTCAGAGTAATCTCCTTGAGAAGCTGTTCACAAAATGTTCTTCTTTTGAATTTTTTTTCTTTATCTTTGGAAACCAAAAGAAAATCATCAAAGATTAAGGTGAGGAAGAAATTCCAATAAAATTATTTTTTATATTCAGAATTTTCAAAAACTAGACACTTCTAAAAAAAAAAAAAAGAACGATTTAATCTTTTATGCAAATCAATTTATTACGAAATAATTGTTTAAACGCATCACATTTTGTCTTTTTATAGTATGAAGAATAGAAGTATTGGCATCACATAGAACCAAGAAAATTTTCTATCTAGCAATCGATATTTATTATTAGATATTTCCAAGAAAATACGAAACGTATATAAAAACATCGATCATGTTATTTTCAGAAAAAAATTCAGACAAAAGGAAGAAATAACGGAAAAAAAAATGAAAAATGCAACATCTGATAATTGAACAATCGAACTTCTTGAGAGAAATCACTAAGAATTACGATGATTTGTTTTTATGTAACGTGTTAATGTGTTATATAACTTAGGTGATTGATTTTAAAATCTTCGATATTTTTACCAACTTTTATGCTTGTTTTGGTTTCATTAAGCATTATTTCTCAAAGATATTTTACAAATATATTAATACTTTAAATATACGAATTAACCATATTGAATTAATATATTGAATAAAATCAATATTGATAAAATATTCGAGTTATTCGACTGCTCTAATTGTTAATTATTTAAAATAAATCCAAATACGTATATTATTTATTTATTTAATATACAATAATGATAATATTTAATTTTATATATTTTATGCATAATGCATTATAAACAAATATATTGAATCACGTAGCAAATAAGTTGAGAAACGTTGGTTTATATTTATACGAAAGATATATCGTTGTGTAAAATACTCAGCAATACATTCATTTAGTGAAATAAGGTAAACGCGTCATTAAAAAATGAAAAGAAGAAATATAAAGGATACATGATGCGTGTCATTCATCGTTCACAATGTATGGATGATCTGCATAAGTATCAATTATGTGAAAACGATGTTAAACAGAAGATGTAAATTTTCGTGCATTGATTAACGATGTTCAAAATCGAGAAAAAAAAATTTCTCTTTATTTTGGATGCTGTAAGTAATTGCATAATAAATGTATTCATGAATGCTGTCTGAAATTAATAATTAGTAATAATTATTTACGTATATCATGACGAAAAAAAACAAAATTGTTAAAAAAAACAAAATGATACAGATATTAAAATTAAATTATGATAAAGATGAAAATAGATAAAAGATGTAACTTTATTATGTTAGTATTTTTCATGTTCATTAACTATGTTTATCTTTCATACGTATGCACATAATTTTGACGTTAGATGATAATTTAATTTCATATCACATACCATTCGTTTTTATCTTTAACTTGACGCACAGTCTATAATATAACAACGTGTTAAACAGATATTACCACACGTTTGCATTTCGAATTTATGTTATGTGCGGGTATTCTATAAATGTATTTTACAACACAAACATTTTTTTACACCTCTAATAATATAAAATAGATAAATAATTAATATTGAATTCATAATATAAATTTTTCCTGTTCGAAATAAGAAAAAGCATTATTCTGATCTTTGTAGAATTATAATAATGTAATTATTTTAAAATAAATAAGTGTTATAAAAATAACATTACATTTAATTTTAATAATTTTACAATTAAATCTCAAGATAATCGAATTTTAAGGAAAGAAATAAAATATTTGACTTATATAGGTTATGTTTATTGCAGACGATATAAGAGAAGTGAAATATATTTCTTTGTTAAATCACAATAGAGATAGGAACAGAATTAACAATGTGAAATTTCGAAAGTACTTATTACTTGCCTTTTAAATGAGTGTCGATAAATAAAAGACTTTCAATGCTTCTTTCAATCATTTTATTCGATGGCCCTTCATTGCGTTCATTATCACGCATACGTATCTACCATTAACGAACATTACAATATGAACTTCCTCGAATCTTCTGGTCAGTTACTTCCTGTATACAGGTAACGACACGATGTGCTTTCGTTCATTGTACCAATTTTAACTTGAAAAAGAAAAGTTTCTTTCATTTTTTTTTCATTTTTAAAGAAAGATAATAGTAATTTAATATAATTAGAAGAATTAATCGTTTTTCAAAAATAATTAATTAATAGTAATAATGAAAAAGTATTTGTTTGATATAAAAAAATTAAGCTAATAGTATTAATGCGTAAATTTTGAATGTTGTTTATTAATTAAGTTGTTTTCCCATTTTTGGAAATTATTAAACAATTATAAAATCAATTCAATAATAATTATAAAATTAATAAAAATAATAATTTTTAATTAATTTATGATCACAAAAAATTTTGTTCATTAGATATAACTTTTAAGTTTATTACTAATTGATTATTAAAAAATAATGTATTTACCCTTAAAAATTGTGAACTACAAAATAGAATTTCACTTTTATATTTCGTTTTATCCTAATATATTCATTCCTATTTGTCACAATGTATTCGTAACGCCGTTATTTACACCGCTATCACACGACCGCGATTTACATTGCGCCAAGGAGAAAATATTTAATCGCCTTTCCCGAAAATCGCCTTTCCAATTACGCCGCTCCTGCTGAAACGAGCTACTTCGCATGCATCTCGCATGCGCATGCGCCAAATAACCATGTGTCCTTTTAAAAGCCAGTGAGAGTTCCACATTCAAAAACAATCTTGTTATTCGTTCCAGGATTCGTCCGTATATACACCCGTCACATTGATGCAATTTTACCGATGCAGGGGAGGAGAAACGGAATACGGAGCAGGAGGTAGAGGTAAAGAAGGAGTAGCAGGTGGAAGAAGTGGAGGGGACGAGAAAAACATTGCAAAACTTCGAGTTCGAACGTTGATCCCCACATGGAGATATACGCATACTGATTCGAGTGCGTAAATGACGGATATATTTGAACGTGTATATATATATATATGTATGCATGTGTGTGTATGGTTGCACGGATAGGGAAGAATCGTACAGACGAACCAAAGCTAGTTTTCACTTCTCCCACCAGATATTAATACTTTATATGAAATAACAAACAAATAAGTAAATAAATAATAAGTATATGACATACTTCGAGATGTATGATCCTCCTCTTATCAAAGTCAAGATATGCAATTGTTGATGTTTATAATTTAAATATTATAAATTAAGATTTTTGCAATATCAATATTTATTTCAAAATTGAACGTTTTAATGCAAAACATTATTTTGTCGTTGTATTTTTTGATATTAAGAATAAAAATATAAAATTTGGCTTATATCCTTATTCGAAGAGAGAATTTGCATATTTGTGCCTATGTCATGAATTGTCAATTAATATTCAATCAATTTTTTACCTTAGATTTTTAATTGTAGATTAAATAACTAAAATTAAATCAAATTTAAAAATTTATTTATCGAATAATTAATCAGTACAAAACGACAATTTTTCGTTTTCAATATTTTTATCAATTGTAATTTACGATATAATAAACAAACTTATCGTCAGAGCAATCGGTACAGCTTTTTTATATACATATACATTGTTTATAAACGAAAATAATATTAAAGAATTTATTTGTGAATCAATGTAAATTTTGTCAACTTTAGCCATTATCATTTTAAAGAATACTCTATAATACAATCACTGTTTTTCTTATTTATATTTTCTATATTTCCTTTAAAGGAAATGATTAACCTGTTTTAACAAAATATCATATCTCACCGTTATTTAGCACCAAACCAAGTCGCAAAATGCTAACAACTATCTAAAAATACGAAAAAACTCGTTTCACATTTTTCTCCGGCTACCGCCTTCTTTCATAGATGAGCGGTATACATATAAACATTTCGGTCTCGCCCACGGACGCGAATGTACACGTTATGCTGTTTAGAAAGTCCGACACAAGAACACGGTATACCTCCGTACCAGAAGGCATACCCATCGGAGAGGTAATATACCAAAAGGTTCAGTAACTCTTTAACAGGTGGTGGGGGTAACCCTAAGCTAGCGGTGTCAGACGGCGCTGCCCGCTCACTGCTCGTCGATTCGTCGAGCGATCGACATCGAGTGTTCTTGTCGATTAAGGGAGAGAGGATTTTCGAGATATCAAAACATTGAGGGTACCAAACATCGCTCGTAGTCAAGAATCAATCAATCGATCAGTGCTCTAGGAAGAAGAAAGACGTTTTTAGACAACATACCGGAGAAGATGGAAAAGGATCAACCGGATTCCTTGGCAACTGTGGCAGTTGTTTCGGAAAAGATGGCACATCCGCCTCATAGTAATTACGCGCCCAGCGAAGTGTATTCTTCTACCGAACCGCCACCGGTAAGTATTCAGAATTTTTTTTGTCTAAAATTTTTTTCTATTTTTTTTAAAATGATAAATTTGAAATTTTTAAATTCTTAGATTTGATTAAAATTGTAAGTTATTTAATGAAACAATGTTGAATGAAAAAATTAAAGAATTAGGTTATAAATTGTTATGTACTGATTGTTTTATCGATTGTTGTTTTTTCTTTCATTTTTAAAAAAAAAGTTTTTCGTTCTAATTTTATGTTCAAAGTTTTGTTGGAATATAAATTTTTTTATTCTTCAATTTTCTTAAAATAAAAATTTTAAGACTTTAGCCGAATTAAAAATATCGAATCATGATTTTATCCATTAGCGATTCAAAAAATTCATTTTATTATAAAATATTCGATTACAATCTCAAACAATTGCTATAAATAGTAGAATTCTTTATTGGGAAACTGACATTAATTTACAATTTAAAAATGATTCGACGTGGTATATAATTCCAGAACATGGAATTCTATCAATAATGATTTCATTGGTAGTAGTGATTATGTTAATACAATGGAATGATTATTTTTAAATATTTTGTTATGATTTACGATTGATATTATTTAAAAATATACATATATATATATATACATTCGAATGTTCTTAAACGATAAAAATATAGCATAAATAATTCATAAAAAAAGAAAATTTAATAATTAACTAAATGAAATTATCTAGACAATTATATATAGAAATATATGTAATTAGCAATTTTAATTTTTTTTTTAGCATAGTATGTTATATAATTTAAACTTCATTATCATAGATCAGTGTTTTCCAATTCTTTTTGAATTGTGATTTTCTTATGAATATTCAAATAATTTGTACCTCTCTCATAATTAAATAAACAAGTGTTTAAGCATAAAAGTGTTTAATATAATTCTCCATAATAATATCTCCAATATATCGATTGAATAAGTTACATTACATTAGATTTACGACTGCCTATGTTTTTCATAGCAAGGCCAATGCAATTGTCTCGACCAAGGTGTAAGAATATGCACAAGGACATGGATCTATGAATAAGTTCATAATATCATTTCCGTTTAAGATGCTGTGATTATAACATATGCGAAAAAAAAATTTTTTTTGCTTAATAACCTTAACGATTAAAATTACTTTGTAATTACAAAATTATGTTAATAATCATTTCAATATATTATAAAAATTCCTTTGATATATTACATACTATTACTACATATGTAGATACAGATTAATCAATATACATTCGATATTTTTTTTCGTAAAAAAATTTGTTACCTATAAAAAATTATCAGTAAACAAGAAGTTCATAGTTTTAACAAACATTTTTGCAAATTATCAATTGTCATTGCAAAATCCCAATATTTTACATTTGTCTTAGAATCCAAACATTCTGTGTGTAATGTCAAAGTTAAAAAAAATTTGTAGAAAAATATAATAATTCGAATATTTGAAAAATGAAGAAATAAAAGTAATAAATAATTATAAGTATATTGAATTGAATACTGTAGTATTATATTTAACAATCACTTAGCGCTAATGTCCGGTTACTAATTGTTATAATATTAAAATATATATTTAAAATATTATTTCTTTACGTAACTACTACATCAAACAAAAATTTATTTGCAAGATCAAGTATTACTTGAAGATGTTAAATATTTTTATTTCCATTTATCTATCTGTGGCAAAATCTATTTTGGAATTAGAAGGATACCTTCAATAGCCGAAGGATATTCTCTTCGGAAATAAATAAAAAGAATTACATAACGCGAAGAATCAAAGAAAAATAATTTACATAAGAGATTGATTATCAGTTTTGCTTATCAATTTAAGTTTTTTTATAAATTACAGGATAGAGGAAGATAGATCGAGATATATTTTGTCGTGGAACGGATATGATAAATTACACCTCGTACAAAAATCGTTGTTTGATACACATATTTCGAATTGTTTCATAAAAGAGTGCGGAAATCCGTGCGGCTACGCACTTCCGTGAAAGTTTCTGGATAAATTTAATTGCACAAGCCATACTTCCATACACGTACACTTGTTTATGTTTACGATCGATCGAAACTTGCACGTAAAAAACGGAAATGTATCTCGTAAAACCTATCCTAACCTTGTCAAGTTTAATATCTCGTAATTTCAGCAATATATATATATATATATATATATATTACCATAGTGACTGGATAAGGTTAATAGGCTGGAAACTGGTGTTTCGAGACTAGATATATCTTTCTTCGTGGAATGAAACGAGTGGCATGGGTGAAAGAATTTAATTAGTTTTAGAATTTAACGATGAACTTTCTCCGACAATGATGTTGGAATAATTATTATAATAATTATCAAGATAAGATTAATATGGAATACAAGTTGTTTTCAATAGAACATATTATTTTATCCGATTTTAATCGTATCTCCATAGAAGATTCTTAGATTCATTTCGATACGAGAGAAACTTCGTTTTAAACGTGTGTTGATTAGTCATAGATCGAAATCTGATTTTTTACATTTACGAAACTTTTGATTTTTATTTTATTCGTTTCGCGTTACATTCAAGTTATTTTTCTTTTAAAAATAAAAATTTTAAGTCAGGGAAATAAAAACTTATTTTTAATTTTTGATTGACCATCAAATGATTGAAGATTATAGCGAATAGATTTTTCCAATTGTATAAGAAATAACGTACGTTTAACGAATTATAAGAAAAGAATTGACATTTAAATTATCCGTTTGAAAATACAATTCCATTCTAGGGAATCGCAGAGAAATGGATGATACTTAGATGACGTAAATGATTATGAATATCCATAATTCATGTTTTACCGTATTCATGTGCATCCGTTTCAAGTAAATAAACGCGCTAGTCATTGATAACTAATTTCTCGACGAGAGTCGAAAAAGACATTTAACTTAGAATTAATATCGCAAAAAATTATAATAACCATCACGATATTTTTTTTCAAATTTCAAAAACCAAATGATAAGAAACGTTTCGTTTGTTAAACAAAAAATAAAAAATTAGAATTTATTTAATCATCTCTTGTTTTTTGATCAAATATTGCAATATTTAGATGGATTTTAACTTGGAACAATTATTGTTTACGATAAAATTTATCAAGAGATTTATTAATATATATATCGATTGGCTAATCGAACTTTCGTATTCGATCATACGTGACATTGAAAAATCATGCGCGACAATGGTTTCATTTTCGACGTTGTCGGCTAATTCTCTCTCTCTCTCTCTCTCTCTCTCTCTCTCTTTTTTTCTCTCTCGCGCTCTCTCTCTCTCTCGCTCTCTCTCTCTTTTTTTCTCTCTCGCGCTCTCTCTCTCTCTCGCTCTCTCTCTCTTTTTTTCTCTCTCGCGCTCTCTCTCTCTCTCGCTCTCTCTCTCTTTTTTTCTCTCTCGCGCTCTCTCTCTCTCTCGCTCTCTCTCTCTTTTTTTCTCTCTCGCGCTCTCTCTCTCTCTCGCTCTCTCTCTCTTTTTTTCTCTCTCGCGCTCTCTCTCTCTCTCGCTCTCTCTCTCTTTTTTTCTCTCTCGCGCTCTCTCTCTCTCTCGCTCTCTCTCTCTTTTTTTCTCTCTCGCGCTCTCTCTCTCTCTCGCTCTCTCTCTCTTTTTTTCTCTCTCGCGCTCTCTCTCTCTCTCGCTCTCTCTCTCTTTTTTTCTCTCTCGCGCTCTCTCTCTCTCTCGCTCTCTCTCTCTTTTTTTCTCTCTCGCGCTCTCTCTCTCTCTCGCTCTCTCTCTCTTTTTTTCTCTCTCGCGCTCTCTCTCTC